ACTATATCAGTACACTTTTATCCCTGGGCTCAAATATCACTGCGATTCGATAAAAGATGCATTACTATCATTTAACACAACGTTATTGCTCTTCTATAAGAGACCATATCATTTATTAATCAGTGATGGATTTCACATGTATTCTACCTCTGCTTATTGTAATGCTGTCTCCAACATTCCCTGAAGGTTAAGACAGAATAAAATGCCCATAGAGGCACAAAACTGTGGATTCTTCAAATCAGATAAGCATCTCTTGACTCATAGAGTGCATTTATTTATCTTACAATTACAATCCCATTTACAAAGAACTGTCTGTGTTTGTTTCAAGGTTGTTAAGACATTTCCCTACATTTGTTCCAAGGACACAGTAAATTCTGAAACAAAAAGGTGTAATAGAGGATTAACTAGAATGTGCTCTCAGTAAATAGGGATTTGTGTAGTTCTTGTAATGTCTACGTCAAACATGGATATCATTTTCATATTTTTACATTCAGTTATGTATTTTTGTCAATAATATTTCATATATTGGTTTGTAGCTACGTGCTCCTGTATCTACATTCTGCAGTAAAATTGGTGCATTTTACGAGAAATATGAAACAAGAACTCCCTAAAAGGCTATTATGGAGACCATCCGCAATAACCTATATCAGATTATAATCCCCAAAATTGTCTTTTTTTTTATTTTATGGGGGTTTGATAGTGTTTGGTGCTGCAAGAATTTTCATAGTAATGTAAGTTTTTCACCGTCCTAATGACATCACTGAAGTTTCTGTTTGTGTGTACTGAAAGAACCCAACTGGTACTGGGGAAGCTCATATTCAATGTGAAGGAAGAAATTTGTTTATTTATTACAATACACAAGTGTTGCAGGGGCGGACTGACAACTCATGGGGCCCCCGGAAATAGGGGATCATGGGGCCCCTGTGTCCTTGCCCAAACTCAAAAAAGCCTATGAAAAAGGTACCAGGAGCATCTTATGGGGCCCCCTACTGACCCCAGGCCCTCTGGCAGTGCCCGAGTTTCCAAATGGTCAGTCTGCCCCTGAGTGGTTGAGCAACTGTCCTGAATCTGTCCTGTAAGTATACCAACTTCCATTGCACCCTTGTTATCGGGGCTTCATTTATTGAGTTTCCATTTTAAAAATTACTCTGGTGACAAGGTTTGGCCAGGTGCCAGTTGACAAGCTCTAGAGTTGCGAATCAGCAATGATAATGCTGATAGATGCAGCAGGCTTTATTTACTAAAGCTGGTTCACTCAGAATCTTGCGCATGCCTGCATAGGAACCAATCAGCTTACAGGTTTTATTTCTAAAGCTTAATTGAAGCTGATTGGCTACCATACATGGGTGTAGTAGATTCTGAGTGAACCAGCTTTAGTAAATAAACCCCACTATTTTCAGCATATTTTCATCCCAATGTAGAAAAAAAAAGAACAGCACATGAGGGTGACAACAATCCCCTGAATTCAGGATCAGTGTAGCATTGTAGTCACCCCATGACAGCAAGCTGCATTAGGTGGACAGGTGGACTTCACTGGCTTACGTCTTTTAATCTTTATATTTATTTAACCTAAACACCACATACTGTATTGTATAGAACTTGATACTTCACGGCGTTTTTTTTTTTTTTTTTTGCTCTGCTTCCCTGCAGAATGCATTGATTATTTATCTATTTTGCAACAGACTGTGTATTGCTAGTCAGACAATTTTATGAATTCATCTGGTATTTGAGTAGCTCTAGTGCTCATTATCCACAGCTTGAAGGAAATAAAAAGCACAATAGCAAATGAGGAAGCCTTCTATTCTGAGGAAGAAATTTCTGTTCTTATTGAAATCCTGAATGTAGCATGTAAGTTGGGAAAATAAATGATTTGCTGAATGGAGTAATAAACCAGGTGTTCATCAGCAATGAGATGTATTATGATGAGCGGTGCAAACGCTTTTCAGGCAGTTGAAGTGTTACCAGCTTGATTGCAGATACAATGGAAGTATATTTAATACAGATCTGGTCTTTTAATCAAAATGATGTTTCTGAACTAAGGTTGTCAGTTTTGTCATGATTCTGAGGTAATTATTTTATGCACATATAGGTTAATGGTTAGTCTGATGTACATAATGGAGCTTTAATTGCCTCGGGTATACAATCAAGACATAATTAGAGAAGGAGCACTTCAAGGTTCCCCATTTTGTCTTCTTTGATGTGCATTCCTTTTCTAGCAGAACAAATTTAGGTAATATAAAGCAGCAGGACATAAATAGCTGACAAGAAGCAGCTTAATCACTATTTTTGCTGGCAAAGAAATAGTTCGCAGAACTTTACTTATATACAAAAGTGATATTGAAAGTTGCACACTCATTTATAATGATCTGAATTTCTACCCACGTAGATTGCTGAGGCACATGTAAGAAGATTTTATGCATACTTTTTTTATATACTATATATTTATGACAGGTACTTATATAGCACCAAACAAAATTCTTGAAATGTATAAAACTCCACACTTGGGTATATATGAAAAGAAGCTGCTAGCACCAAGGATTGTGATACAAAACCCAAATATACTCTTGCAAATATACAATACAAATATTGACTCTTTGCATCAACTTAATGTAATTGTCAATAGAAGCCTTTGACACTTATGAAAAGCTTGTAATTATACTTTAGTATACCATAGTAATATCTGAAAAAAGATCTAAAACAATGAAGCATTTGTGTCATTCTCAAAACTTTTGGCCAGGGCTGTATGCATCATACAGTACATACTAGGAGGAGTACAAATGGGGGAGGGGGGTGAAGAGTTGAGAAGAATCTGGCTGTTCTGGTAGCTCACAGACCTATAATAATACTATGCAATGCCAAGCTACAGTTACTAAAGCAAGCAAAAAAAAAACGTTCTTGTATTAAAATAGATATAGAAAAGAGCGAGAGACATAATGTTACAAATCATCAGTAAGAGCTCATCTGAAATATGCAGTTCAGTTTTGGGCACCACTTCACAAAAAAAGATATCGGAGAATTGGAGAAAGTGCAGATAAGGGCAACCAAACTGATAAGAGGCATGGAGGAGCTCAGCTATGAGGAAAGATTAGAGGAACTGAATGTATTCTCTCTTGAGAAGAGGCTATTAAGTAGGGATATGATCACCATGTATAAATACATCAGTGGTTCATATAGTGAACTTGGTGTAAGGTTATTCAATTCAAGGTCATTACAAAGGACACCCTTTATGTCTGGAGAAATCCAAATTTAACTACATAGAGAAATACTTTTTCACATTTAAGAGCTGTGCAAATGTGAAATAGACTCTCTCTAGAACTTGCTCTGACCAGCTCAGTAGATTGTTTTAAAAAAGGGCTGAATGCATTCCTAAATGCCCCCAAAATAACTAGATAATTATAGGCAGTAGTAGCAAGGATTGTTGATCCAGGGAATATCCAACAGCCTTCTTGGGGATAAGGGAGGATTTAATTTTTTTCCCCCGCTGAAGCAAATTGGGCCGTGCTTTATAAGGTATTTTTGCTTTCCTCTGGATCAGCTGTGGGTATAGGAATCTCTATATGGAGGTTTTCTATTTATTTATTTATTTATTTATTTATTATATTTATTTTTCTGTTGTTTGAACTAGATGGACATGTGCCTTTTTTCAAACTGATTAACTATGGAACCAGGGAGGATTTAATTTTTTTTTCCCTCGCTGAAGCAAATTGGGCCGTGCTTTATAAGGTATTTTTGCTTTCCTCTGGATCAGCTGTGGGTATAGGAATCTCTATATGGAGGTTTTCTATTTATTTATTCTATTTATTTATTTTTTTTGTTGTTTGAACTAGATGGACATGTGCCTTTTTTTCAAACTGACTAACTATGGAACTACTGTATGTATATGTAACTATTGCAGCAAAAGCTGATATTTTTTTTTTTTTTTTTTTAATGAGCTATTTGTTTTATCCTGTTAGTTTTGACTATGTTCTGCTTTAATTTCAACATTCTGTGAGTTTCTAACAGCTGAAAAAAATGATTTGTTGGTATTCGAGGAATACATGCCTACATTGCTCTTAAATCAACAAAAAAGCTAAAAAAAAATAAGCATTACTTTGTTGTGCTCATAGAGCTCCACACCAAACATTACATTGGGAGCATGGCTCAGATTTGTACGTGTGCTCTAATAGCCTGTATGAATGATTGTTTTTTATAGCTAGCTCTAGAGGGACACCATTTTGGCTATTATCTAGACCTAGCAGTAATTTTAGGGACTGTAACATCTTTGCTCTAGTAGTTTTCATGTCAGTCATTTTCACATTATGATGAAGTTGATTTGATGGTCATTCCCAGCAGAGATAATGTGATAGTCCTACCGTGCTTGTAGTGATGGTTAATCTTTGGCTATAGCAGTGATCATACAATGTTTCTATGCACAACTCACAAAACAATTGTTATGGAGCAGAGCACAGAACTAGTAATTAGAGCAACCCACAATTTTAACTATTGCTCACGGCCCATCACCAGCCAAAACATTTTTATTTCATTTTGAATAGAGTGGGAAATAGTTAAAACCTTTTCTTTCTTCACTTTCTAACATTTTACTTTTCTCTAATGGAAACAAAGACAGAAACACATTTTTTAGTAGAGTGGGGATGGCAATGCTAATACACACATACACACACACACACACAAAATTCACAAAATAGATATTAGACATTTATTAACCCATTGCCCTCAAGAGGATTTACCCCCCTTCCTGACCAGGCCATTTTTTGCGATACGGCGATGCATTATTTTAACTGACAATTGTGCGATCATGCAACACTGCACCCAAATTAAATTTTCGTCCATTTTTTACCCATGAATTGAGCTTTCTTTCGGTGGTATTTGATTGCCTGTGCGTTTTTTAATTTTTTGAGCTATAAAAAAAAGACCAACAATTTTGAAAAAAACCCTATATTTTTGACTTTTTGCTATTAACCTCCTTGGCGGTATTCCCGAGTGTAGCTCGTGGTAAAGTTTCAGTACCAAAAGCGGTAACCCTAAGCTACACTCGGGCTTACCATGCGGCGTTGCACAAGGATTCCCTACAGCGCTTACCTTGTCCTTCACTCTCGCGATGCGTCCCCTGCAGCGTCCCCGGCCATCTCCTCCAGCCGATGCCGTCATCTAGCTTCCGTGTTCCGGTCCCTGTGACGTCGGGACGTACGGGCGCCAGAACCGGCGGCAAATTTAAAAAAATGCAATTTTTTTTTTATTTTTTTTATTTCATAGCAAAACATTCCTGTTTTAAAGCATTTCACATACATTTTGTCCCTACTGCTTTGTCCTGTGCCCTGCCTGCATTTTGACTGTTCTTTCTGCCTGGAAACTTAGAAAAGTCCACAGCGTCCAAAAAGCGTCCCTTTAGGACAAAATCGGTTTTAGACCGGCTAGAGAACAGCGATAGTAAATCAGAACTACTTGCAGAATTGAGTGATAATGATTCATGGGGGAAATTCGTCATCAGACACTGAAAACGATTTTGCGACTTTGCTCAGTGATGTGCGAACTTGGCGCTATATTTCAAATTTCAGTGTTTTTGGTTTGATTATATTATTGAATTAAATGTTATTATTATTATATTATTATTTTTTATGAGTATTTATTAAATTATAATTTATGATTTCGTGTTTCAAGTTTTATCATATCCAGAATGTTTACTAGACTCTTGTTCGGACAGATTTCAGGGTGTTATTCCTAAATTACAGGCCTACAATAAAAAAAATACATATTTCCATGCAAAAAAAATGGTACCGCTTTCAGCACCAAAAATCTGAAATAATCATACCGCCAGGGAGGTTAAACATGTCCAGTGAAAAAAAAATTTAAAAATCACATTTTGTCAGAAATATAGGCCAAAATGTATTCTGCTACATGTCTTTGATAAAAAAAAAATACCAATACATGCAAATTAATTGGTTTACGTGAAAGCTATAGTATTTACAAATGGCAGTATAGATACTGGAATTTTTTTTTTTATTAATAATGGTGGCAATCAGTGACCTTTAGAAGGACTGCGGCAGGCATTCTTATACTGGGGGGAACTGACTTGGTGTCACTGACATCCCCAGTGACACCAATACAGTGATCAGTGCTAAAAAAAAAAAGCACTGACACTGTATTAATGGAACTGGACAGGAAGGGATTAACATGAGGGGCGATCAAAGGGTTAACTGTGTGTGCTGAGAGTGTTTTTACTGGGGGGACGGTGTGTTGGTAGTTCACTGTAAGGACACTGCTCTGGCTGGCTGTGCTGTGCATAGCCATCCAAAGCATTGTCCTCGAGCCGACAGGGAGGAGGACTGTTAGAAACAAACAGCTCTCCTCCCCGTCGGAGATCCTCGGTAATCATCGGGCGCCGGCAGGTAATCACCGTCCGGGACCCGGTGATTGACAACCGCGGCTACAATTTGCAGCGTTCGCTTACCTGGAGTTGCAAAATCACGTGTATACAGTATGTGATTTTGTGCACCCCTGCCGCCCTGTAGCAGTATATCTGCTATAGGGTGGCAGGGATGTGGTTAAACATATATACAATCACATCAGCCTACCTTTTCCCCTAACCTGAACCCGAAAAAATAAAAACAAAGGCTGAACTTAAATGTAAAAAAAACAACAGCATTTTTTTTCAGTTTCTGCCACATCTGGCCATGGCTGACATAACTTCTTAAGGTTTTAAGACACAGTCCTGCTAAAGTAGGTTAACTTTTTTTGGTGAAGTACATTTTTTATTAGGTTTTACTACTGTGAAATCTGAGAGCCTTTCCATTGTACCATGATGATAATCAAACATGCAGCTTTAAAGGGGGAACAAGCATGTGGTCACCCGCTCCTGAACCATAACAGACCATATGCCCAGGCAAAGCACCTTGTCTCCCCACATTCCTGGCTAGGGGGCATATCCATGTGGGGATCTGTGAATAGGGGGCAATATCAGAATCTGGAAACACCTTTAAAAATTAGGGTGCCACAGATGCCACCCCCATGTAAATGAGTAAGGGGTACATTAGGAATACCCCTAATATTTAACAAAAAAAAAGTAACCTAGAAATGAAGACAGCTAAATGTTTGAAAAGTCCTTTTTTAAAAATATAAAAATCCCCAAACAAGTCCCTAATAGAAAATCCATCATCAATCATAATGTTTGCCGTGCACTTACTCCCCAAAATTAAAACCCTGATAATACTGCTCACTGAATGACTTGACAACTCCCCAAGCTATCATCAATTTAAATTTTCAGAAGGTGGCTATGTTCTTTCTATTTTTTTTTTTATTCTATTTTTTATATTCTTTTCTTTTTCTGTTCTTTTATTTTATTTTCTATTATATTCTATTATTTTATTTTTATATTCTGTTCTTTCATTTTTTTTTTTATTCTATTTTATTATTGTTGAAATTCAAGTTTCAGAAGATGGATTCTATTCTATTCTGTTCTATTTTTTTTTATTCTATTCTTTTATTTTCTATTTTATTCTTTTTTACTCTATTCTTGTCTTTTCAATTCTACTCTAATTTATTCTATTCTATTCTTTTTGAAATTTGAATTTCAGAAGCTAGCTATATACTTTCTATTTTATTCTGTTCTATTCTATTCAAATTTCAAACTTTGAAGTTGGGAAGATGGATATATTCTTTCTATTTTTTATTATGTTCTATTCTATTCTAGTCTATTCTACTCCATTTTTTCTATTCTGTTATTAGATTTCTATCCTATACTATTCTATTACTTTATTTTCTATTCTATCCTTTTTATTTTTATTCTGTTTTTTATGCTATTCTATTTTTTAAATTTGAATTTCAGAAGATTGATATATTTACTCTTTTTCTTTTCTTATTCTTTTCTATTCTGTTCTTTTATTTTCTATTCTTTTTTTTTTATTTTAATTTATTCTATTCAATTCTTTCTGAAATTTGAATTTAAGAAGACAGCTATGCTCTTTCTAGTTTTTTTCTAATCTATTCTAATCTATTCTATTTTATATTCTTTTGATTATTGATTGATATTCATTTTTTTCTTTTTTTTTTCTATTATATCCTTTTATTTTCTATTTTATTCTGTTCTTTTTGAAATTCATTTTACGGAAGATGGCTATATTTATTCTATTCTATTCTAATCTATTCTATTTTTTTTCTATTCTATTCTTTTATTTTCTTTCTTATTGTATTCTAATTTTTTTATTTTTTACTTTTTATTTTTTTTATTCTATTCTATTATTTTTTATTCTTTTATTCTCTATTCTATTATGTTTTTCTCTATTCTTGCCTATCCTATTTTATTCTTTATAATTTTTTTTCAAAATTAGAATTTCAGAAGATGGCTATATTATTTCTATTTTATGCTATTCTATTTGAATTTCAGAAATTCTCAGTTGGAAAGATGGCTATATTATTTCTATTTTATTCTATTCTAATTTATTCAATATTTTCTATTTTTTTCTTTTATTTTATATTCTATTCTTTTCTATTCTATTCTATACTGTCCTAGTCATTTAGTTTCTATTCTGTTCTATTCTTTTCGATATTCGATTTTTAAAAGATGGCTATATTCTTTCTATTTTATCCTATTCTATTGAAATCTATTCCATTGTTTTCTAGTCTATTCCATTTTATTTATTTTTTTTAATTTTCTATTCTCTTATGTGCTATTTATATTCAAGTCTATTTTATTCTATTCTGCTTTATTTTATTCTATTCTTTTCAAAATTCAAATTTCAGAAGACAGCTATATTCTAATACACACAGTCTTTGAAGGAAATCAGCAATAGTCAGCATTATGTTTACATTTCAAATTTATTTTCAAATTCGGTTTCGGGTTTAAATTCGATTTAATTTCATTATTTTGGATTCGTTACTATTTTAATATGGAAATTCAGATGCATCCAAATCTCCGACTAATCAAAGTATGTTTAAATTTCAATTGGAACAAAACAAACCGGGCATGTCTAATATAGATACAAGTTGGCAGTTGCTGCAGCACCCTGAACCTCAAAGTTAATTTCCAGTATGATATGCACTTGAATATTTTACTGATTGGGAGCACAGTACAGGGTTTCTCATTTAGGGGTTTCACTTAAAATTACAAGAACTATATGAAGTGGAGTTACTGCTGGAAAGGTTAGCAGAGAATAGACCATCATCCTCTTCAATTAGAAGAGACCTCTATTTACTAAATATGTGCAGGAATCCCAGCAGCCAAATGGATGATATATTGTATATCACTAAAAAACAATAGGGCCACATGAGTATAAAATAATACCTGTCTGCACATACTTACCTAATTATAAAGTTGAAAAAGGCAAATGTCTGGCAAAGTCTACCTCATAAAATCAAGTACTTTGGTCCAGAGAATGGCAGAACAAAAACTCAATGGCAGTTATAAATTTTGCCTTTTGGATGTTTGATCTTGGGTTCTTTCAGATCTGACAAAAATTAGTTCTTTGGATAATAAAAACATTCTAGTGTGCATTCAGGAGATGAGTTTACTGAGCACAATGAGAAGGTAGATTTCAGGTTTGTCTCGGGCAGGAAAGTTAAAGGATAAGTTCACATTTTGACCAAAAATAATAAAAAATAATAAATGCACACTTTTTTTTGCAGGTAAATTATTTTTGGTTGCATTTGTTATTTTTGGTTGCATGAGCCTGTAAAGCATTGCACCAGTGAACAGAAAATCGCTGGTGCCATGTAGATCTGTCAGTATATCTGCTTGCCCATACGGGATTTATGGGCAAGCAGATACTGACAGGAAGAATCATTGATCTACCATGGTGCTCCACAGCATTGTGGTAATTCATTGAGAACTACAAGCCGACAGCCGCTAAGGCTGCCGGTACTTGTAGTTTATTCATTCACAGAACTCTAAGAATGAATGACGCAGCCGTGTAGGCGGAGCCCCACATGGCTGATGTCTATTCAAAAAGTGACAGCTTGTATGGGGAACGGGGAGGGAGGGTTCGGGTGGCGGCTGCAGCATTGGGAACATGTTAAATGTTCCACCTTAAAACAGGTGGAACATAAAACATGCCCCCAAAGGTGAATTTATCCTTTAAACCACCTCCCGTTGTATATAAACGGCCGGACGGTGGCAGTGCAGGGGCGGATGGCCATTTATAAACGGCCTCCCCGCCCCCTGCTTGTGCGCGCTCCCTGGCACCATGATCCGGTGCCAGCTGTGTCCTCTGGACACAGTGGATCACCGATCGTCGTACGGGACCTCTCTGCGAGATCCCGATCATGTGATCACTGATTGGCCAATCGGTGATCACATGAATAGTAGTAAGTAAGATGTCACTTCTGCAATCATTGCTTACTACGTGTGAAATCTGTGAATGATCACAGAGTTCACATAGTACAATGCTATTCACAACAGCCTTGTACCATGTGACAAGCTGTGACCAATCACAGCTTACACAGTAGTTCTCAATGGCTGCAAGAATGCAGCCAGAGAGAAGGAGAAATGATTGCTTTTATAGCCTATATGGGTGTAAAAGCAATCAGTGTAAAAAAAAAAAAAAAATCTTCATCACCATGGTGACACTGTACTGCTAGGGTGACAGTATGTAAAAAAAAAAAACATATAAATAATAATATAAAAAAAATAAAATAAAAATGTAAAAAAAAAATGTTTAAAAATTATAATTTTTGGTTATAAACAAATTTAGGTTATTTTATTTTTTTTTTACTAAAAAGATAACGGAATACATTTTGGCCAAGATGTATGTATTATTTATTTTGCAAAATTTTATAAGAAAAACACTTTTTTCAAAATTTTTGGACTTTTTCATTTACATAGCAAAAAAAATAAAAATCCTAGTGGTGAATAAATACCACCAAAATAAAGCTTTATCAGTCTCAAAAAAAAAAGCTCAAAAATTCATATGGTACAGTGTTGCATGATCGCGCAATTGTCATTTAAAGTGTGATAGCGCCGAAAGCTGAAAATTCGCCTGGACAGGAAGGAGGTGAAAGTGTCCGGACTTGAAGTGGTTCACTACTTTCCTGCTACCCTATAGCAGAAATGCTGCTACAGGGTGGCAGGGCTGTGTAAAATCACGTGTGTGTGTGTGTGTGTATATATATATATATATATATATATATATATATATATATATATATGTGTGATTTTGCATTTCCGGGTAGGGGGCGTGCGCATGCACTCTCCTCGTGCTGCTATTGGTGGTTTCAGCTGTTGATCACTGGGTCCTGGCTGGTTATTCCACCTGGCGATCGCTGAGAATCACTGACAGGGGAGAGGTCTGTATGTAAATAATACAGATCTCTCCCCTGTCAGCT